TTAAAACCAAACCTGAGGTTTCCTTTGCATGTTCTGCCTCCAGCATCCTCCTACCCTTTTCACTTCTGTAAAAAAATAAAAATAAATGAAGGCGGCATTTAAATCTGTGTGTCTATTTCTCTATTAAATTAATACAAACATACAGGCTATTTTCTCACAGGTGTTGACGGTTTTTCGTATGTTCAAGCTGCTTCCAAGCAAATCCTTCCCTGCAGGGAAATGGGGCTCTACTGAAGACCGATGGACGAGTGGCCAAATCCTTTTTCACACAGCGACTTGTTGCCAGTGACTTCCAATTCATTAGGGGCACAGTCTCCCCTTGGTGTGTGTACAATGTAATTCCTACTAACATAAAGGGAAAACTGCCCTCCCTAAGTCTGCCAGGCAGCACCTACCCAAAGGCCGGTCTTCTGTTCAGAGTCTGCACAAAATTGCTCAGCCTGTGGATGTCTTTCTCGCCTGCCAGCCATGGTGGGCCAGCTTCCTTCTGGAGCATGCACTTACCTCCTGCTGGTACCACCACACACACACAGTGGCAGGGGAAGGAGGAGGCCTGCCATCCCTGAGGGCACAGCCCATCTTGGAGCTTCAGCACCATGGCGGACCCCTGAGGCAGCACGGCGGACCCCTGAAGCATCGTGGCGGACCCCTGAGGCACCAAGCCTGTGCTCAGAGAACAGCACAGCTCCTCCTTGCCCCACAACTCAGTTAATATCAGGCAACCCCTGATCACAGTGACACAGCTCCCGTGAGCCCGCAGTGCTCTCCTGACAAGTGGCTGTGGTCACCGGAAGAGCCCAAGAGCAGCTGCTGGAGGGAATGGTGCTGTGTTGAGTGCTGGTGATGTTCATCCACTCAAGTAAACACACCTGACGCTGCCTGGCTCGGCATGGCTTACGTCTCACACCAGAGTCCAGAATCCGTTACCTTTCCCCATACGATCTCTCTAGGCAGCTCCCACGGCCCTTTTGCTGCCTTCGGGCATCTGCTAGCCCTGAGCTATACGCAGGTGGTGGTGTGGGGTGTCTCTGACGGGGCCACACCAGCAATTTAACAGTATGGGCAACTGGGCTATGGCACCCTTGAGTTTACTAATGCAAATGCAACCTAGGTGCCCGGTTTTTATCTGCGCCATGACTCCAGAGGGCAGGCACCCAGCACCACAGCTGCTGAGTGAAAAGCAGGCGAGGGGTTAACAGCAGTGCCCACTATGAAGAACATGGCGGCATTTTATAACTCTTTGTTTATGAGCACTGTGAAAATAAAACCCTCATGGCTCAGCAGAAAGCCTGGCCAGCTTTGAAAAGGGGTCCACAAAGCAGTGAAGTATGGGGTGGGGAAGGAAGGGTGGCAGAAACCCTGTTTGGAGAGAGGGCGGCATGGCTTCCACACGCCGGGAGAGGACCCACCTGACAGCAGGTGGACACGTCATCCTGCACTTCATTTTGACCTTAACGCTCCTGCTGTTGCCGCCACAGTTCCCATTGCTCAGGCCCTGAGCAGGGCTGGTGCTTGCAGCCAATGCCTCAAGGTGCCTGGGCACAGGCTGGCTGCTGCCAGGAGACCTGAGGGCAGAGGGCTGCCATTTTGAGGTGCTCCGCGCCTCTCCCAGGGCAGCAGGTTGTCCTCGGGAGCCGGACAAGGGCATTGCGCTCCCTGGCTGCATCTAACTAAGTTTTTAGCAATGGGGTCTCTGAGCAAGAGGAGGAGTACGCTTGACAACTACATACATTCCTTGAATGTCGTACCGTTGACTCACCAGTACACAGCTCTGTCCTCTGAGGTGAAGTGACCCAGACGGGATTTTATTTCTTGGGTCTCTGAACAGTGATCCCTGTAACTCATCCTTCGCAACAAAGACAATTTAATTTATCATTTAGTAACAATTTAGCCATTACATGTCAGTTAATCAGCTAAATGCAAAGGGTCTTTGGCTAAGAAGGAAAACTGTCATCTGGCAGCATAAAAACCTGAGAAAGGAGAGAGATGAGGAGATCTGGGGTGGGCTGAAAGGAATTAGGGAAATGTTTGCAAGATCAGCATCAGAAAAGCAGAACGGACACAGTTAAGGTTGATTAGTAACAGTTACTTGGGATTTCAGGGTGTTTGTGGGGATGCCTTGGAGCTACTCACATGATCTTACATAGGCCTGTAGCAGGGACCTTCCACTTTGTGCCACAGCTAGTGAATTGTATTTAGGTTATACTGGGGCAGCTCTCGCTGTTTCCCAGAGCATTAGGTACTGTTCTGATTCAGAGCTGTGCCCTCCTTCCTCTGCCAAATGACCTTCCTTGGGGCAGCTCTCTCTGCATCATCAGCTAGCCACTGTATTTCAGGAAAGAGGTGGAAAGAAATGTGTGTTTTAGGGACCAAAATATTCACCTCAGAAGGGCAAGGTTCTCATCACTGAATTTTAGGGATTTGTGTTTATTTTGTATCTTTCTCTCAAAAGGGTAAGAGGCTTTTGCTGAAGGTCAGGAAAGCTCCTGTTTCCCAAAGATCCTTCTTGAAAATCAAAAAAGAACTTTTAAATTTTATCACTTAACCATACTTCTCTTTACTGATGGGATTAATACTGGCCCTAGGTTTGCTAACACCAGCTAGGCTGGATCCTGAGGCGAAATGTGCCTTTCGATTCCCTCAGTAAATCAGAAATATTAGATAGGAGCCTCAGACCAGAAGGTGCTTCCCTGGACTGGGACTCTGGTTTCTAGTCCCCACACTCCATGTTATTTGCAGAGCTCAAGTTAAATTTGAGGTTCCACCTGCTTGGGATGCTTTTGTTTCTGCACTCCCAAAAAGCCCAGCAGAAATCCAGCAGATACAGGTAAATCTGACAGAGTCTGGAAGAGCCTCCAAAGCCCTGAGGAATTTTAAACTCAAGACTAATTGGGTACGGCACACCTTCATTTTGCTCAGTTTTATTGCCTCTCCATCACCGAACATCAAAAAGCCAGAACATAAGCAGACAATGAACCTGAAACCAGTTTTCTTTTCTTTCCTTGGAGAACTCCACACCCTGACAGCTGGAGTTGCTCAAGGTGTGTGACTGTGCAATACTGAACATTCATTTTAAGGGGAAGCTCTTTCACAGCATCTTTTTCCTCTGGCCTCCATCTCAGGGAGACCTTATAGCAGCCTTCTAGTACCTAAAAGGTGCCTACAGGAAATCTGGAGAGGGACTTCTTACAAGAGCATGTAGTGACAGGGCAAGGGGGAATGGATTTAAGCTCACAGGGGGGAGATTTAGATTAGATATTAGGAAAATGCTCTTCACTGAGTGTCTGAGGCACTGGAACAGGTTGCCCTGGCAGTGTTAAGGCCAGGTTGGACGGGGGCTTGGAACAACCTGGTCTAGTGGAAGGCGTCCCTGCTTATGGAACAGGTAAAGATCAGAGGACTGATTTACAGTAGAAGTATCTTTGTCTACACATACAGACATATAAATGCCAGAATGCTCAAAGCAGGCGAGATGCTAAACGCTTCCAGAATTTTTTAGGAAGAGAGGAAGTGAAGGAACCTGGACTTTGTCTTTACAAGAAGCAAGCTGTAAAGTCAAAATTCTGTTTGCAGAAAGAATTCTGCGTCATACCTACATCATACAAATATCTCAAGCTACAACCAGGACAATTTTTTTCCGGCCTTTTAAATTCATGGTAGGATGCCAAAAACTCTTTTACAACTGTCTGCCTCATTCACACACTCTGTGACACCAAGATTCCCCAAGATGTCACTGCCCCACTGAAGCAGACAGAGCACTGTGCAGTTTTGGCCATCTGGAACACAAGCCAAAAAGTTGACCTGTGCTGAGCCCTTTTCCAGTGCTCAAGAGCTGTTTTTTAACATACACCCAGACGCTACTACGTCCATCATCAAACATCTGGTACATCCTGAGTGACCAGAGCCACCAGGGGTGTCACTAGATCTTTTGTCTTCCAATTTACCACATGGCTTTCCAGAAAAGCTTGACATCACCTCAGCTCCTTTTACATTCAACTCCTTCCCTGAAGAGACTCACCTCTGGATGTGTCTCTCTTCATCAGCTACAGAGGGAGTATAAATAAGGAGGTTAGAGTGGTCACTTGGTTTCTAGAGCTAGATGTCAGGAGGGGAATCCTACCCTCCACCTGTCTCACATAAACAGTCCTAGTACATCTTCCAACAGGGCAAGTGAGGCATGCTGTCCCAGAAATAAAACCTAGCAGGTTGGCATCAATGAGCTCTATAGGATGTTCACATGCAAAGCTTATTGAGATTGTGCAGTGTGTGAGCACAAGACAGTAAAAACCTAAAGGGATACCAGCCTGACTTTAAAAAGTAATTTCCTTTTATGCCATGATACTGCAAAGTAATTGTGCCCAGAATGACTGTTTTTACTGCCTAAATACATTTTTAGTACTTGAGCATCCAGGTGGATTCAATTGTGCTTGCAATTTTTCAGGCATTAAAGAGGGAAACTAAATGACAGAGGCGGAGGGAAGAGAGCACTGCACTCCTGTGAGACAGCCTGATACATGGACTGTAGCATAACACTAGTGCTCAGGAGCCTCAGAGTCTAGTCCAGTTTTGACCACTGACTGACCAGCGTTTTAAAGCTAGGCATGGAAAATGCAGTGCAAGTGTTCTCTGGGTCTTCTGCAAAAATAACAGTGGTGGAAATCTTCAACCAGTGTAAACTGTCAAGTAACAGAAGTCACCAACACCAACAGAAGCACCATTACAAGCCAAATGTAGTCAGCTTTTAAGAATAAGAACGTCCTTCTTGACCATCTTTTCCAAAAGCAATATGTGACATGGCATGAATATAAGCAACACTTGAGCTGTTATAAAATACATTAAACCCAGGAAGTTATTTAAATCAAAAAATGTAATTCTGATAAGTTAAGCATACTCAGAACTGATGTCAATAACTGCTTACAGAACCATAGCCTTAACTGATATTCAAATGCCTGTTCACAGAAGTTTCCATGAAGAAATAATATGCAAAGCACACTAAACACTGTCGGGCCAAACACATTCTACTGTTTATTACACATATTACATTCTTAAATAAAAATGCGTCACATAACATTTTTGCATAGATATCTTACAATATACCAATTTAAAAAAGAATTATGAAACAGACCAGTAACAAAAATAAATTTTTTCTTCATTAATAATTTTGTAACATTAACATACCACCATCATATAATACAAATAATATTTTTAAATCTTAAGACTTTTTGTACAGCAAAAAAACTGACAAAGTAATATATTTATATATATATATATATAAAAAGCTTAAAAAAAATAAAATGTCAAAAAAAGGCAGAACTGAGGGCTACAAGATTGGGTACTTCTGTGATATATTAGAAATACCAGAGTAGGCCTGAGAGAACGTGACCGAGGGCATCTCCAAAATGCACTTGTCAGACACATCTGGTAAAAGAAAAATTATAGTGCAAAATGAAAGTCCTTCAAGCAATGTTGTTTTCTTTTTTTTTTTTTTTTAAATAGGGAGCATTCATGCTTTTTTGTGTTGTTGCTAAACAAAAAGAAATAAATCCCCCAAACAATAATATAACATGTAGTAAGTACAGAGCAAGAAAGGTTCCAAAGGACAAGAAAGAAAACAGGCCGCTTGGAAAAGCAAGGAAAGAAAATCTCAGCCTGCATTATTATTTTTCAACTAGATGAGTAGCCATGCTAAACTAAGGCCTTGTTTCTAAGAGAAAAGCTGCACTGTGGTTTAGGTACTTAAATTGGTGCAAGAACCTTCCTGTAGAGGTATCTTAACAGGCTGAAGGATTTCTTACACTTCAGCTTAACTGCATAGGATGCCAATGCAAAGAAAATCCAGGCGATCAAGTAATAAGTGCACCTACAAAGTGATTTTAACTTGACTGGTAATGAACTTAGGGCAACTTCCCTGGTAGAGACATGGCCTTGGTAACAAAGTAGTGTTTAAACCAGTGTTTTGATCTACTTCCAGAATCTGACAGGCCTGGGGTTTAAAATACAGAGCGCCGGGTAAAATGTATGTTGCAAGGATCAGCCCTTCGGCCATCAGGCCTTCCAGGAACTGTGTGATAGCTTTTCATTTCCCCGAGAGCCTAACAAAAAAGGCTAAACTTGTTACCTTTCTGTCCATTCTAGTTCACTTTTAGTGTGTACATGCTAAGCCCTCATCCTCCTCCCTTTCCACCTCCCCTCCCAACCCCAAATTTGCAGCCTATTCATTTGCAGTACACAGCAACATGTATCTCCCAGCACTGTTGAAAACTTTTCCTAGAGAAGCCGACATGAGTCCTAAAATGCAGTGGCAACAGCAAGTGCCCTCCCAAATCAAAGCAATAGGCACGGTTGGCTACTACAAACTGTAAGTCAGTAGCTCGGTTTCCTCTTCTGTGTTAGGTATATATAGTACACTGTTGTACATCCACACCCACACAGAGACAGGGTGGAGAACCTGTTTTCTGGCAGTATACAGAAGTTAGGATCAAAGCACTTAAAAAAAAAATCATCAAAGCTTTCATTTTGAAAATCGCAAAGAGTTCCAACTTCAATTATTACACCAAAAATGCCATAAACAAGCATTAAGGAAAACTATAAAACCCTGTTTGAAAAACGACGCCTGCGTTTTAAAGTTTTCAGGTAGGGAAACCCATTCTTGAGGTGATAAAGGCAGCCTACCTCTCATCTCCACATTTTTATGTATATAATTCATATATATAATTATATCATTATATATATAAATTATATAGACGAGTATGTTCTGGACTTTTTCCTCTAAGGGAGGAGGAAAGTCTCAGCTTTACAAGACAGATCTTAGTACCTGCTGGGCCAGATCCTACAGATCTTACAGTGCTAATTCTTGCCACTGAAGCCAATGTAGAGCTGAGGAGGAGAAAGACTGCAGTAGTCATCCCTAAACTACTAATGAAAAGAGACACAAAAGTGACAAAAGGAAGAACATCCAAGCTTGGTCTGGAAATCATCATTCAAGAAGGTGTAGATTTAATGCTAGGGAGAGACAGGCAAGACTTGTCAATGAATAGCTGAAGTATCTTGTGAGGAAGTAACTAAAATTTTTCAGTACAGAGTTAAATAGAGCTATTATCACACATTGTTCTTTATTCTTTGTATGTGGGGATCTTTGCAAGTGCAATTCTATCTGAAACCAGCAAGGACTGCTTTCAAAGAGTGTTGGGTTAGAGGTGTCACCTAAGATATGAAAGCTTAAAAACAGTCTTACTGGATGGAATGATAGGATGTGCCAAGTCCTGAATGAAATCAAGAATAAAAGCCCTTGATCCACTGGGTGCTGGCCTAGTAACATTAAGTTATTTACAAAATCTTCCTCTTTTTTTTTTTTTTTTAAATTTAAAGATTTTAACATACATTAAGGGAACAGGCAGAGAAAAGGAAACACTTAAACAAGTTGGCTCTTCATCAGTTTTGTCAAAAGCACCAATTATGACCTCTTTTGTATGCAGATAAATACACTAGTGTGTTAGAGACAGCTAAGAAGCCCAAACTGTCTAGGGCCAGGTAAAAACAAGGGAAAAAGCCTGATCCTGTAAATATCAGGAAGGTCACAGATCAGATACACTCCATCACTGTAACTATCATATGGATCAACTCCATTTTAGCCACACACCCTGGTGAGTAATTATCTTTTTACTCCTGAAGTTAAAACAGTTCCAGAAGCAAGAACCTGGGGACTCCTCTTGGGTTCAGGTTCTTCCCCATCTGTGTTTGGTCAGCTCTTTCCACATATTAAGTGAAAATGTGCTAGCCTAAAAAAAACCAACACACCAGTAAACCCAATTCCAAAAAGTCTGAGGAAAATAAGAATTAATAATAATAATAATAATAAAAATAAAAAAGTTAACCTTTGAAGAAATATATATTGGCTTAGATTTCCCGTCCTGGAAACCATCTTTGAGACTTCACATGGGTTTCTACACTAGCAATCTTGTTTCCATAATATCTGGTTGGTCCCTGCAGCTGTGACACATCTCATGGTACAATATTGCTTCAAACTGGTTTGCTAAGGGCTTTGGGTTTTCTTTAAAGATTTCCTCCTCTCTAAATCTTCGTCATGAAGAAGCCTTATAAAGTTTAATGAGGATGGGAGTTTGTGAGAAACCCTAAAGATCTGTCCTACAGTCTGATCCACCAGCACAAGACTGGGAAAAACTAGAACCAATACACATGCATCACTGAGAACTCTGAAATGAATCACAGAAACACAGAAAAATTCATGTTGGAAGGTACCTCTGGAGGTCACCTAATTCAACCCTCTGTATAAAAACAGTTTAGTTAGATCTGACTGCTCGGAGCATTGTCCAAAACACTGAAAAGAATCTAGGATTTCAGTTCATCCTTTCTCTTCCTCTTTTGCCAATTTATCCAGCTAATGCAATTTTCTAGACTGAGTCCTGGCTACTGTTCTGAAAAAGAACAACTCTGGGATAATGAAAAATACTCCAGACTCTGGAATGCCCTTTTCTGTTAGACTAATCTTTATAAAATACATTTCATAGTTTAGATTGCTCTTTATCTCCTAAGAGGAAAAAGAAACAGAACAAAGATGTACTGAAGTGGTGTTTTGGTCTAAAAAGTGACTAAATTACAGCATCATTTGTCTTTGACATAGTATGAGTGAAGCAATACGATTTTTTTTTAATTTAAGGTAAACCAGCAATGATTATATTGGAAAAACAGAATTTTGCTTGCCAAGCCTCAAGCTGGCAGCATAGAAAGTGTATTTCTACAAGCATATTTTTACACACAGATTCAGCAAATCTGATTAGAAAAATCTTTATACTGGTGCTTCCTAACTGAAGTTTTTCATAAGTCCATTTAAAAATAGAATCTTATCATAGAGTATAACTTGTCTCAATTAGGTAATTGAAGAATCCAAAATAAATTATATCAACATTGTAACACATGAAGCACATCTTGATCTGGAATATTCCATCTGGTTTTGGTCTCCCCATTACAAGAAAATTACTGACATATTGGAGAAAGTCGAGCAGATAGCCACCACAGAGATCATGTTCTGGAACACATGATGGATGAAGAGAGGCTGAAAGACATGGTTCAACCTTATGAAGAGGAAGGCCAGGGTAGATCTTATTGCTGTCTACAGGTACCTAACAGAGGGTGCAGAGAAGAAGCCAGACTCTTCTTGAAGGTGCACAGTGGATGAGGCAATGAAAACAAGTTCGAACATGAAAAATTCCGACCTGAAACATGGACTTTAGATTTTTTTAACTTTACCATGAAGGCAATCAAATATTGGATGAGCTTGTAGAAAAAGGTTGTAGAATGTCCATCCTTGGGGATATTTAAAACTCAGCTGGATATGGCCCTGAGCAACCAGCTCTAGTTGGAGGTTGGCCAAGACAGTTTCTGGAGACCCCTTCCCACCTGCATGATTCTATCATTGACTACTCTGCTCCAAAATATTATTTATCTACCCACAAAAACTCGCATTTGCTTTAGTTGCTTCCTCTATGTACACTATTTTCAGAGACTTTTATCTCAATTTGTTCTCACCCTGAAGTTCCATGGCCTTGGAAATCACAATCTTTCTTATAATGGCTTCTCTTTTGCAAATAGGCATAAATCTAGCATGGAGGAAACAAGGTAAAGCTTCTCCTTTCTACAGCTGGATAACTCAGTCCTCAACTGTCACCAAATCATCTGTTTCTGGGTTTGCTTCCAAAAAGCCTTACAGAGAGGATTAGTCTTTCCTCATTAGCCTGTTTCTACTCATAGTTAATTTTGGCTACTCATAGAGGGCAACTTTAGCAAGGAGACACACGCTCAAAAAGAATCTAGCTATAACAAAGTTTGAAGTGCACATCTTAAAATATCTGTGAAGAAACAAATCTTGTCATTGTAAAAAATGAATCCTGGGATGTTGAATCCTAATTATGCCTTTCTAAAATGGAGGCTCCTTCTACAAAATACCAGGTATAGTTCAAAACCTTACTAATGACTAAGACACTTGCACCCAAAAACTGAAGTCTAGAGACTGTCTGAGCACACCATGTATACAAATGAAAAATACCTCCCTTTACAAGCAGAAGAGATGTTCCTAAAGCTCAAAATTTGGCATCAGATTTCAAAACCTACTACAGAGAGAGCCTGAAAAGTCTGAAATGTGGTTAAGTCTCTTATTCCCCTTTTAGCTATGCTTTTAGGCTATTTGGATCCAAGATTTAGATGTAGGTCTGCCTCTAGAACAAAATAATCAGACATTTCAGCATGTTTTCTTCCACGGGGCCCTTGTTCTGCCATATTTAAATAAGATGTCAACAAGACCATAAATGACAACTGGAAGTAAATAAAGAGTCTTGCTTGATTTTTTTTAGTTTTAAATAGAGGCTGGTACTTAAACTGTCACTTAATAATTAAGGTTTGTAGACTACTGACAGCGTGTCTAAAGGCAGGTGTGTTCAGAGGTCAAAGGAGGATATTTATACAGGTTGACAGCCAATGATTATCATAGTGGTGGGTTTGAGAGCACACACTTTAGGACACTACAGTAATGAAATTGTAGGATTCTCTTATCCTTTTTTTAATCTAATACACTGACTGGATGCTCTACAGTTTCACACAGCTGAGGTTTCAGTTCCCATTAGACATCTGGCAGGATGCTCTATATATTCCAACACAAATTGGATTGTAGGGCCCTCAGTCCCAGTGGAACAGCTGGGTGGAATGGCCATTAAAAAGTATGCAAATACAGAGAAATACGAGATTGTCAGCAAGCAGTGCTCTGCAATTTTTAAATGTATACATATATATATAAGCATATATATATACACATATAGAGTATAGTTAGTTTAAAATCTTTGGAATAAACTCAATTTTTGTTCTCTCTTTCTCTCTGTCTTCCTTTCTTTTCTTTCACTCTCTCTCTCTCTCATGCTCTTATCATGAATGTTACATCATTGTCCCCAAAAGATAGTTAGATTTTGGTCCATATTTCTTGCCATATGGGCCAGACATCGTATTTCCCCCCTGTCCCCAAAGTGTTCAATTGACAGTCACAGTGTTTTGTGAAAACTGTGAAGAAAACCAGCATCTTTCAAGTAAATTCAATCTCTCACTGGAGTCGAAGGTTGCAAAGCGTGAGATTGCACTGTGAGGGTGGTAAGACACTGGAACAGGTTGCCCCTAGAAGTTGTGGATGCCCCATCCCTGGAAGTGTTCAAGGCCAGGTTAGGTGGGGCTTTGGTCTTGTGGAGGTGTCCCTGCCCACGGCAGGATGATTGGAAGTAGATGATCTTTAAGGTCCCTTCCAACCCAAACCATTCTATGATTCTATGATTCTATGAAAACACTGAGAATTCAAGTGCCAAGGATCCTGGTGACAGCTCTTAAACATCTATTGATTTTCCTGTTTCCTCTTTTTCCCCCCTAAGAGTACAGTTTTACCTCCCCAAACATAAATTAAGGGAAATATTTAACAGTCAATGCGTCAAAACAGTCAAAGAAGGGCAGTTGGCTAATACAGCATAAAAGAGCAGCAACCATTTGTGGACCACGCGCCATTTTGTTTCATTTCTAGACACATCTTGTAGGGATGGGTCCCAGAATATACAAAATATACAACCAAATGACCACCTGCCTGCTTGCATAGGCCATTTTTATGGTCCTAAATGCAGTCTTTGGAGTCAGGGCCAGTGCCAAATAGTTTGAAATGCAAGTTATGGTGAGATACATATTTTGTTTTTCTTTTGCAATGAAGACTTCAATCCTCTTTGAGCCAACAAAATCAAATTAGCAATCGGACTGAAGGGCAAGCATGAGACCTCCACTTCTTGATGGTTCACACAGTAGGCCAAAACGGACCTCTAAGTTAGTAATACTTTAGACCAATCATTTGGAAAGCCTCACTGCTGTGTGTAAAATCCAACCCTTCCTTCACCGTTCACACTATTACACTTTCTCATACAGGAGTGGACTACAGCATCAACTTGATGAATGGAAAAGGAGGACTTTGTTAATTTCTTTAAAAGGCTAACGCTGAATGAAGCCATTGTACTTGGAAGAGGTTCTCGATTTCCCACTCAATGACTGGAGTAGGGTTTTTGGCTTGGATTTTTTTGTGTGTAAGATGCTCAACAAACATTAGCTTTAAATTAAACGTCGGCAGGTACTCTTTACGCAAACGAAAGTCCAATGTTTTAGATTGGTTAATAGAAGAACAGCAAGAAAAAGCAACATAATTCATTGCTAAGTCACTGTGGGTTGTGGCTAACATGCTCACATGATGTGGAAGGAATCCTGTAGTCATGCCTGTGTGGCCAGTCCCAGACGGATATTCAGGTGGAGACAAGGAGTTCTGAAGATCACTTGTTTGTGAAGAAAAGAGAAAATATGTTTAAGCTTCCAAAAAAGCTTTTAAAGTTTTTTGTTCAACAAAGAAACAAGAAGTCCTAGCTATGGCAATAAGGTGAGGCCTACAGAGACATTAGGTGCTGTTTCTCTGGGGTTTATCCCTTGGCCACTTAGCCATCATGGCAGCAGCTTCCAGAGTCCCTAGTGCATATGTTGTGCAATAGCCAAAACAAAAATTAAAACAAAAACAACCAACAAAAATATAGTCCTCCGTGAAGTCTACATAAACTCAGGCCAAAAAAGAGGATATTTGTGTCACAAGTGTCACTCCACAGTCTACTGCCATTAAGGCCACTGGTATTGACTTAAAAGGATCTCAATAGCTCAGTTCTAGGAAGAAGAACCAAAACCATGACAGGTCAAAGTGTCTGTGAGAAGTCTGACACATTGAACATTAGGAATTCTCAGACAAAGAACAAATGAACCAAGAGGTTAATTTTGGCTACCAAACTGGGATTTGGTTTTCTAGGTCATTGTTCCCCCCCATCTATTTAAAAAGAAAGTTAGTGCTACAAATATGCAACTTCAAGACGACATATTCTCCTGTTGAGTTGCATTGAGAAGCAAGTTAAATAAGCCCCTCCTACTGCCGTCCACCTGCAGGGAAGTCTCCTTTGTGTTCTTTGATTTCCATTGGCAAAGCCAGGAAACAAATCCAAGGGACGAAGCACTGTAAGCAATTATTTCTCCTCATTGACTTCACCTCTATACCATTTCTTCGCCTGCATCTTCACCCATCCAGCTGGGGCAAGGCATGAAGAACTGATGTACGTATTGAAGTATAATCGGGTGCATGACAGTGTGAGCGTGTGGTCTCTGTACAGAGGATTACACGTGATCAAGTTCTTGTCTCCTGCAAGGTAGCGCGTTGAAACTTGAGTCCCACTTTCATCTCACAACACTGAGCTCAGATGACATCTGTGCCAAGCTGACTGGTATTTAGATGTGTCTTTTCATGTGGAGGGCAAGGTGATCAGACCTGGAAAAACACCTGCAAAATAAAGCAAGTGGGAAATGACATAAATACAGGATTTGGGAAAACAGGGTTCCTGTCCCTTCTTCACTATGCACAGGAGAAAATATATATCCAAGTTTAGAGGCACTCTTCAGATTATCCATGGATCACCACCAAACCATGTGTGATTGACCTCTGTGACCACAAATGGCCAACTATCCTGGCTCTCTGGTAGATAAATAGACTACTCTTCTCCTTTCTCTTATCCTCTCCCTCTCTCTGCTTTCACTGAGTCAAATATCAGGGAAGAGTGCTCACCTGTATTGCAAAATCAAATGTTTAGTATTAGCATGTGTGTGCATATAAAACCAAAGAAATAAACTAAGTCAGTTTTGTTCACAGTTTTCACTCAGCAAGACCAGTTTAAAATAAAAACACCAGCTTTCTCAACTGCCCAGCACCTACAACAAGCATTGAAGCATGAAGCCAGATCTGAAAGCTGAATTCTCATTTCTAACTCCAAACTGAAAGGAAAGCTGGTTCAGTTTGGAGGGTGATAATCCAACAGGCTACATACTCTCTCTGCGGGAATCTGGGTGGTAATATGTGGATGTTGATGAATGCCCTCTCCTTGAAGGATGTTGGGAGAAGATAAGGTCTTATGCCTATTTTGTAAGAATGAAAATTGAAAGACAGAGAAGGCGAGGAAATTGTAAATCACACAAGAAGTCTGGCAAAATGAAACAGAACAAAAAAAAAAGCCAGGAGTTCAGCTTTCAACTTCTGTTCTTTATCCACAAAGCTGTTTTTCTCCATCTCATATGAAAGTGTAATATTTTAACACTCTGAACATGTAGGTGGCTGCTGATAAGACAGACTTAGAGCAGCAACCCTGGAGAACTAGTTGAGATTTAGGGCTGGTCTAAACACGCAGTTAATTGAGAATAAGGTAGGGCATGTATCTGAAACAAAGCCTGTATACTTGATTAACTCCCTCTCTAAAGGCTTATAATTGCCTTCTTCTGAAATTACTTAATCCACTTGGGAAGCGGGTTAAGATACTCAATAAAAACCACACTTGCTCCTGGAGAAGACCAACCCCAGAAAGAGTTAATCAGGAATTACTATTCTAAACCAGCTGCCTTGTAACAGACATGCTGCAGGGCACTCACAGCGGCAGGAATAGCAGCCCATACCCAGGCACTTCACACCACCAAGATATTGTCACAGTGATCAGGGGAATATGTTCTCAGGAAGACAAGTGCTCTGCTTCCCTGACATTCAATATATACTCTATTTTATCAAGACTGCCGGTAAGCAAGAATATTTTTTCAACTTTTATACCCATTAGAAAGGGATTGAAAGCACCAACTCATGTCACAACCACCATCACAGTGTCATTACAGATATGTACGGTACCAAAGAGCAAACCACAGGATAAGTGGGGAGTAGTTGTGGCTGCCTACCCCAAAGCCCTAACCTGGAGCCTGCCTGTCAGAGCAGCAGGACTCAAGACACTCTCAGAAATTAAACTTGTACTAGATACACTTCAAGTTAAGCACTAAAAAGTGGAAGATTCACAAGTTCTTGCAAATCCTGGTTTGCCTTCTTTCCACCCTAAGCCACAAGACACTGGCTTATTTATTCTTACTAATAGCAAAAAATATCTATTCTAAGTATCACACAAAGCCCCACGTACCTTTGGCTTTTGAGTAAACTGGTTTTGTAGGCTCCGAGGGCAGCAAGAAAAACTTCCAGAACTGACTTAAGTGTCTTTTCACTGCCCCATAGAGTTAGAGTATAAAAGAGCCACTGATACTGGCCTGAAGAAGACCCAGATGGCTTATTGTGAGAATGTGGACGGCTCATATATGGGCACTAAATGTACTTTCAAAAAAGCAGTTTTTAGTTGAGTATTCCACATTTTTCAAGAAGAAGAAGGTAAAAGAATGAATTTAACTACTCAGTAAAAAAAGCCAAATACCAAAGATAAAAAAGAACACTCAATCTAAAGGCAAACACCCAGAGGATAAACACCCTAAGCAGAGAAATGCTGAGAAAGAGAAGCACTATAATAATGAAGAGATTTTAAATAGTTAGGGGATCTTTTCTGCCCTGCTGGGCAATCTATCTGCATCTACATGCACAGGTGAGTGATCAAGAGTGTTTTAAAACACAGAAACCTCACAAGAAGGCAACTTTTGCAATAAAAGCCAGAAATTCATCTTCAGCGGATGAGCATAGCTCTGCTCAAGTCAGCTGTTCTCTACTGATTTGTAGTGGCTTACAAGGGGGTTAATACCGTCAGAGTGGTGAAAATTAAAAAGAAAGCCTTCAAAATAGGACGGAGGCTGCATTCTTGCAAGCTCCTGAATGAAGCACAGCAAGACAGATGTGAATCTGACAATGGACACTTGGCTTTCAACACAGCAGGCTCAGCACAGCTAGAATTTTCTAGCCCTAGGGTGCCAAAATACACCCTTGGACCAACATCCTTCTCGTCAGTCTAAACTGAGAAAGCAGCACGCTCTGGCTACAAGGGCTGGCAAAACAAAACAACAGCTTGAGTGGCTGCCAAAAAGACATGCACCAGCTGGCACTTCAGTCTAGGACTAGTCATAAGACCACCACCCAAGCATGGCTTTTCCTCCCCGATTGTCTCTGTCATGGATGCAACTCAGGAAAAAAGAATGCTGAGTCACTGCACAGCAAGACTGTTTCACATCAGTAACCACAGTATTAGCATCTAGTATATTTTTCAGCCTTAGAATATGTTTATAGCTAATAAAATAGCTTCATATTTGCTAGTTTATAGCTACTAAATTGTTACAGTACTAAGTCTTCACATTCTCCTGCTGATTAATTTGGTTAGTTCTAGCTCTTGGTGGATGTGGGCAGTTATTTTCAGCAGTAAAACAGTCCCTAAATCACACTAACAAAAAAAGCTACTCTTAAGTGGACACATTTTTTTAACTTCTGGGACCAGAGGCAGCAGTGGAAGAGGCTCCATAAGATAAGGTATCAAGGGAAACTCCTTTCTTCACAAACTAGGAAACACCAGCTTGCTGGTCTCTAGCCCTGACCATGAGACAGACGAACCTGCTCCACACCTCTGGCTCTACGCCTCTTCCAGTTCCAGACTGTGGTACATGGGCCCATCACAGTCTTCACTGTCACCCCTCTCCCAGTCCAGCTCTTCCGGCAAGGACAGTTTATACTAGAGTAAGATACCCTAATTCTGAAAGTCATACAGTGATGCATGACATGTAAATTCCCTACTCGCAAACACGCTTCCTTCCTTTCTCTTCTTGCTTTATCTCCTTAGCAACACAGCGCTGCTTGGCACTGAAGCCTCTGCAGGAGAAAGAGGGAAGGTAACTACACTGAGAAGTAAATATATTGCGCAGCCATCTCTCTTACCAGCTGTGGATTCTCCACTGTGGGACGTGTTCATTCCAGCTAAGCGTGCTCTTACCTTGCTGTTAAAAAGGAAACCGTGTGTACATGTACACATACATATACACATACAGAGGAATATATACCCCAATAGTCTGCCACTAAGCTCCTATCTCCTAAACACATATTTATGTAGAACAAGCAATTGCCACTACCCTGTCATGCTCTTCCCCTTTGCGTGCTGAGGGCTTGCACTGTGTGAGGAACATAAGCCTAGCTTTTGTTTCTGAAGAGCAAAATTCCTGGAGAATGCTAATAACCAGCACATCCAAGGTGCCTGGAAGGCAGTATAGACTTGTACACTGCTTTCTGCACCACTTTAACTGATTTTCTTTTTTCCCCTGCTGCCCAAACCACATACCATTTGAGGTACATGTGGTGCTACTGAAACCAGTGGTAGTTTACTAACAATGTGATATGAGGGTTGCATGATGTTGGAACAGGGCTGGGACAGCAGAAGAGAATCACATCATATCTCTTTTGTTTTAAAACTGACTGGTACACAGAGGACATTAACACCCTTTCGATGTCAACCAGAAGGTTAGAGACACAAACACATCTGAAAACACCTTGGGAAGGGAACTGCAGCCAGACTGTGTCCACAATGTTCCCCTTCTTCACTTTCATGCTCTGATTGCCAAGATATGGCCTTCACCTCTGAACAACAGGCATATGTTTTGTGCTATGTCAGTGCTGTTAAAAGAGATCCAAAGGACTTCCTGAAGTTTAGCAAGTCAGATGTCTGAGAGAGTGACCACTCCTGTCAATAATGGTGTGTGCAATAAAAGGTGGCAGTTCAAATATGGAGAAACTGTTATCCAGCTGGGAACTCCAGCTCAAAAAGGATCATCTTTAATATTAAAAGTCTGCCTAAATAACTAAGGACAGACTTAGGCACATGTTTCAGCGCTTACTTGAGGCAGAATCAGCCACAGGAGGTAGTAGAGAGATCTATGAATGAGAAAAGAAGGGAAAATAGTGGTAGGGCAGAACAACCCCAAAGAACAGGCACTATCACATGCCTGAGCCAACTGACTAGGAGAGTAAAGACAAATCTGTCTCCTGCCACCACACACAGATGGTATGAGCACAGAGTTGAACAGTGCACAATCCCCAGCACTCTTAACACACTAATAAATATTTTCCAGCATCTACAGATTCAGCTGAAGAGCAGAAAATGCATTAGATGGTTGCAAGAATGTATCTCTTGACTGCAGTGACTGCGTTGGCTGCCAAAGAAAAATCCTACGTACACAGGGATAATGCGTAAAGGGAGGAGTATGGATACTTAACAAAGGTTTGAAAGAGACTGAGTAGTTGTAATCACTGGATGCATTTCTTTAGATTTCTGCTAAAAATATTGTTTGCCCTGACACAGAAACCCTGCGGTTTTGTGTGCGTGTATGTATGTGTGTTTGTGGGGCCAGGATGGTTAGTTTGTGCTTCAGAGGAAAGAAAAGAAAAAGGCGATGCCTTACATTTAAAACAGAGAACATAACTATTCTCCTGCACAGAGAGGTGCTTATACAAAAGCAGAACTCCAGAGGTCCCTACTTGGCTTATTCTGTCCCTCATTCTGAGCAAACAAAAGATAATCCAGGGATAAAACAAAAGATAATCCAAGAGGAAGCCCTCTGTGGGGGAAGGGGGATGGGAAGAGGGGAGACAAGGGCAGAAGAGCACTTAAGGAGATGAAGCTCCTGGAAAGGCAGGATGTGAAAATGATCAAATTTCCTTCCCATAAAAGGATGGGGTCCCTTGTTTATGTCTCACACATCCTCTCTCCACGCATGTTCTCTGCTGGTCTGGTGTACCCAGAGGCTTCCTAGAGCCTTTATTGTATTACAAAATGTTTCCTTATCAGCACAGAGTCCTGCATTAAAAAGATGGGTAATTTTCTTAAGCCTCTTTAAAAAATATATAGAAATAGGATTAGCTGGATAACATGTTCGGATGCAAGCACATTATTTGATTACTCAATAGTGGATCCAGGTTTCACCCAGGGCACTGCCAATCTCCAGCTGGGGGGGGGGGGGAGGGGGAGAAATGCTCATTGTTCGATCCTGTCAGGGCTGTCAAGAGTCATTACAGGGGCAATTGCTTTTGCTCCACCCTAATTTCTTATCAATTTGGATTGGGGATAGGAAGGAAGGTTTTTCTTTTGGTTTTGTTTCTAAATTCAAAGAACACATCTTTCAAAAACACTCAGCACCGAGCAATGATGACTGTGTTTTTCAATGAGCTCTTCATTCACTCAAGCAGCTGAAGCAGCGAGGACTGTGAAAAGGAATCTGCAGTGAGGGGCAGCAGCCATGGCTCCCACTGGGAGCTGCTGGGTGCTCAGCTCACCAGGCAAAATTGGGCCCTTCTTTTTAAGTGCCCAGGGGGAACTGTTGCACGACAGGCTCTTGAGAAACCCTGTCTCTGGATACCTGTCAGGCCTTTAAATCTGGGCCCACACAGAATGAAGGTGCAGAGTATCTGAGTATTTCCCACATCAAACAGATGTCAAGCAAGGGTGAGATTTAAAACTGTAAGGAAAGATTAATGAGTAGGAATATGCAGAGATCACCAATTCTACACAAAACAACTTCATGAAATTGAATTGTAAGATACACCTAAATCACTCCTGTGCTTTTGAAAACAATGCCCTTTCCTGTCTTCTATTGACCCTCTCCTGCTGAACATGGGGAAGCATGAAGCCCTGTACTCAGTGGTAAAGAGAAGACAACAAACATACAGAAATTAAGTGCTTTTTTTCCAATATTTGGGTACTTGTGGCACAACAGCCACACACACTTCCCATCTCCCCTGTTGTACACCCACGTGTTTGTTAGGCCCACTCTGACAAAAGGCAGGCAACCAGCAACGGTGCTTGGGGTAGTCCTTGAAGCAAATAGAAGGAGCTCTGCCTTTGTGAGGGCACCAGGCCCATAGGACCAGGAAACGGCAAACTGTGGAGATGCTTTGTTTAGAGGTCCATTGCTGAAGAAGTCTGGGGCCCTCTGGAAGTCTTCTCTGCTTCAAGAGAAACCAGCAGGTTTCAGTCAGACCTACACCTGGTCCCATATCTTTGTGCTGTGGTAGGGAAACAGCTTAGGCTGCCTAGGAAGTATTTCCCCTCTGCCAGCCGGCCTGGCCGCTTAGGCAGAGATGACAGCGGCAGAGTGGAGGGTCCCCCCTTCACTTGGGGATCAAGGCACTGGGACAGGAGGCCAGAAGGGGCCCCCCTCCTGGGAGACAGGTCTCTTGTCTCAGGGAGCTGGTGGCTCTGTGCCATTCAGAAAGCCCACATGTTGCTTGAACATTAGGAATGTTAGGAGGCTGCATTACCTGTCACAATGGTTGCATTTAAAGGGCTTTGCACCCGTGTGCTTTCTGTAATGCCTTGTGAGCTCGTCACTCCGTGCAAAACGCCACTCGCACCCTTCCCACGAGCACTTGTAAGGCTTCTCACCTGCAGAGGAGAGGAGAGAACAGTCAGCGTGGCAGCAGGATTACTGAGCACTCAACTTGCAAGCCCTGTGTCCTCCCACCTTCTCTGTCCCGCTCAGGCAGCTAAGCCTGTCGCACAATTCATGGCCAATGTGGGATGGAAACAACTTAGTACTTGCGATGCATTATACTGAGGATGGATCCAGCCCAAATTTTACTACTGCTAAAATTACTGTGCAATCTTAATTCCCCTTTCTAACAAAACCAGTCATTTGCTCTTCAAAAAAGAACATCCCCAAATGCCTGTGCTTCTGTGTGGCTTGAGCCTGATTTTCAGCCAGCATTTCAGCTCACTTTACCTTTGCCAATGAATTACTGTGGTACCTGTGAGTGGCTGTACTGACACCTGAACACAGTGCAGGTGTGCACTGCTCCAGTGACCACCACAAGCACATCACTCACTTTATCCCAGCTGCCATTTACCCTTTGCATGGCCAGGCTAACATCTGTTGCCCTCAAGCTTTCATGCCCACTGCCCCCTGGGACTGCACCTTGTTTGTTTGCTTCTGACAACAAAAATTGTTCCTTGGTTAAAGAAATTATGTGTTAGGACAGTGAGTGTGAGAGGAGAAATGTTTTCTTCTTTAAACCAGCTGGTCCTTCAGGCTTTGTGCACTACACCTTCTTCTGTCCCAAAATATTAACCATACCACTGAAGGGAGTGAAACAGAGCAGCGATAAGACAGGAGAGATTCTAGTCTGTGTTCATATCCACATATCTTCTAAATGATAACCAGTCTCTGTGGGTCAAAGTCCGCCATGGTGTAACATCCGTGGAGTCATTAGCACCTTCTAATTTCCACCTTCTGAATTCCAAGGATTAGCACCTTCTGAATTCCAAGGTTTCATGCCCCCTTTTCTTATTCGGTGCACTTGTATTCATGTGCATGCAAATTTATCATCTCCCCCCAGAACAAATGCTCCTGTGCATCTCCTCCTCTATAAACTCCATGTCGCTACTCCCCACGCAGTCAGCACCGTATGGGTGCAACAGAAGAGGAGCAAGCTGAGATAAAATTCAGACAAGACATCACTTTCACACCAAGCTTCTGAGCTAGGAATTATGAACAGAGAAGAGCTTATTACTTATTTATTTGTTCTTAAAATTGCTAAGGAGGTGATCTTAAAAAATCCACCACTGGCCAAACTGAAGTCACAGCCTGTATGACCTTTCTATGCCAGTCACATGAAATAATCACTTGGCTCCAGCAGACAAATTTCTCAGTGCAGAGACGCAGATTTCTACATTCCGCAAGTAAAGGAGTGAGATCTGATTATGGGAGATTTTTGTATTTCAAGGTGACAAATTGGAGAGGCCAAAAGAGCAAGAAAAGTGAAAAGGGCAAGAGAATGGCATGAAAATACATTTTTAAACTGCTGTTCTCTGGTGAGTGAGTTCCTGCAGACTTCTTATTGCAAAGCAGCTCTGCTGCACAGTGGTCACGCACCCCAGAGAGAACAGCCGAGTGGACTGAGGCGTTAACTGGTGCTGAGCCATTTTACTGCCCTCTGAGAAGTTCCTCTGGCTCAGTAGCTCAATTAAAGGATTCACTGGGGTGAAGCAATGAAGAGGGGGCAGTAGCTGGCAAGACTTCACCGAAATACCCATTTGTTCCTCAGTCCCTGAATGCAGAAAGGACAGGCTGGATGTCTCTTGTGTGCCACAGTCCTTCATGGGAAAATGCCCAACAGGACAATGGACTGTGCCAGCAGTAACACCCCCCCACTTAGACTGTGCCTGCCTGGTCATCTCTGCACACTTGCCTTTTGTTCTTCATTTCTTCAGGAAAAACAGGGAAGGGGGGGAAGAAACAACCTGTGAGTGCTCCAAGTGCTGGTGTCTTGTTTCTGGGCTTACTCAACCGTAATTCAAACGCTGTCACCAGTGCTTGCCCCAGACATCGGAGCTGAAGTTGCAGCGCTCTCCCCTCCAGTTCTTGACATCCTACCTGGCATGCTGCATCTGCTCTCTCCTTTGCAGAGCAAAGGGATTTCCCCCGTCCAGGCCATGTCCATGACAGCACTCCGGTTTTGTTTGAGCAGTTCATGCATTATTCTTAAAAGCTGCCAGTAAACAAGCCTCAATTCAGCTTCCTCAGTTCTCTGACGCTCTCTAGTGCCTACCTCTGAGTGGAGACAGAAAGCAAACTGCCTTTGCTGCAAAGCCGATGCAGAAGAGGACTGCTCAGCTTAATCTGGTGGGGACAGCCTGGTTGAAGGACACAGCCACCTACAGAGCAGAAGGGTGAAGGGAAAACGTCCTGGGCTTTCTATGAAACTATTAGGCTATCAGGACTGAAGTGGAGTTTGGGTTGTTAACATTTGCCAAGAGCTTTGAAAATGTACAGTGTTATATATAGGTTACAAGAGACAGAGATGCCAAGCATGATTACTGGTAAACCCATGGGATGCCACATATCTTTGTTATTTGCTGCAGGGGCTCCTCCCTCAAGTGTTCCTGATCTGGCCTTGCACAGCCCTGAGCTGAGTTTTGTTTTCAGATGCTTTTCCTCTGTAACCCAAGCACCATTCCACAAAATGTCAGACAGTGCCTCTCTGAGCTCCAGGCAGCATGCTGGCATGCAGTGCTCTGTGGAGCACAAGATAAATGCAAAGGAGCACAGTGACCTTTAAAGCCATGTCAGACAGCTCCTTGACCCAGAGACCTCAAAGTGGTTAATTTCCTGCCTTCCTGCAGCTACTCAAAAACATGGGAGGCAGGAGACCTCCATATCTCTGCACATTAAGACCACGAACAAACTGCTTTTTTAATAGCTGCTTTCACCTTACCCGAAGATGGAATGAAAGCGTATCTTGCTGAGATGCACATATGTAGGAAGCATGGGAATGGAGGAGAGGGGGAGGGCCCTCCTATCTCACTACTGGCAACGGCAGGGAGAAGAAATGGGAAGGATCTTTTCTATGTGCCAGAGTGCTCTTCTGTTATTGCAGAGGATTAATGAGAATAAAAGGATAGATGGTGAAATCCTCCTCTGCTGAAGGCAATGGCAAAATTCCCACTCACTCCTACAGGGCCAGGATCTCCCCTTTTTAACAAATTAATTATGAGCTTCAAAATCCAATTAAAAATAGGAACATCACGGAGCTGTGCCACACTGACTTCTTTTCAGGCTCTAATTCCTCAAAATTAATAACTGCACTTGAAACTCATGCCTGCGAGCCACTCCCAGGAAGGAGGCTCTACTCCTTAACTCACCTATATTCAACACAAGGATCTGTGCAGTGCATAAACAAATCCATAAAACCACGTGTATACACATACACTCAACAGAGAAGCCTACACACATTCAAGAAGACGCCAATACCCAGATACGCAGCTGTTAAATGCTGAAGTGCTTCAGCTCAGAACGTGATTCACACCGTGGGGCCAGTTCAGTCTTCACACATGCAGCAGCGCACCTGGGAAGGGCAGGCAGCCAGCAATGCAGACATATGTTCAAGCAGTGAATTATGCAGTTTTCTAAGATGAGTACTAGTCTGAAAACAATACACCACTTGCTCATGGAAAATGTTCTAGAAACAACCCAGAGCTTTCAGCTTTCTCTAAGCTTTTCCCAGGGAGGGGGAGACCGCTACCTGGTGATTTCAAGCTTACTGATCACATTCCAGTTCCCTTGGGCAGTGCGCATCAGAGAGCAGTGCAGCGCAGCACAGCACAGGTGAGCTGTGCAGTGAAGCAGTGGGTACACAGGACCCGACATGCAGACCATGTGCATATAAAGGGTGTCATTTCTGGCTAGCTGCAGCCTGGTCCTGTGGCCTGTCTGTAGGTGAAGCGTGCCAGTTGTGCGCTTGCAGAGCACCTCCTGGACAGGCCATCCAAAACCACATTTGTGCTCCAGCCAGGATGAACCAGTGAATGGGAGCAACTGGAAGGCTCACCTCAAGAGGGGATGCTTTATCACCAGAAAACACTTACTAGATACAACCTTAGTGGCCTGATGAAGATACCCAGAAGCAGCCGGCACATGCCTGCAAGCACGAGTGCTGTGCTAAAACCTACTTTTCCAGAAGGACTTCACAATCAGAAAAGTTAGTGGTACAGGAATGCTATTAGCCCTTCAGATACGTTTTACAGCTTTAGTCCATCATGACTGGATCCAAGAGAAGCAGCCTTTCTTCACTGTGGTGACTACCCTGTGGCACGTAGCCCATTTAATGCTCTTCCTGAAGTGTAATTTCATACCCTGAGACTGGGATGGTTGGGGAATAGGCTCTCCATTGCCCTTCTGCTTATGGCACCTCACACAACTGTGAAGGCAGTACTCTCACGGGAGAATGGATAACTGGTACATAAACTCTGAATAATCCTGAAAGATACAACAAGGCCATGAGAGGCCCGAGGAAGCTCAAGCAAGCAAGATAAGAAGAAGCTGGAATTCACCGAGTTAATGAGAACTGTGGACTGTTGGCAAGCTTTTGAGGTCAAGTCCTCACACCTGTGCTTAACCAATTATGTATTAGTCACTAAGGGTCTTCAAGACATGTATCCAATCATAATATGCCAGATTACTGTAAGTGCATGTAAGAAATAGTATATAAGGAGTTAAGGCTTTGTAATAAATGGCTTTTGTCTGATCATACTGATCTCTGACTGGGTCCATATATTCTGCGGCACACAACCTAGCTCACCTCCTAGAAATACCTCCAAAGCACACCCCAGTACAGTCTGGCCCTCCATTCTCTTTATTTCATCCAGCCTGGTCCAATCTGGTAACTGAAGAACAAAGATCTCTGCAAATTTACTGGAAGCATACAATGGTGAAGCTAGAATTTATGAGTCATAACAAAAATCCATCAGACTTTGGCAGCCCTGGAATCAGGTCACTATTTCTTTGGAGACTAAGACAAGTGCAGGACTCTAAATGTTAGGCATCTAGTTACAAAATAAACAAATGATTGGTATAGCTTTCTCTTGAAAGCCAGAAGTTTATAATTTGA